TGCCCACTCCCCAAGGTTGGGGGTGGGGCTGAAAGTCTCAACCCTCTAATCCTCTTTCTGGTGACCAGCCCCCATCCCAAAGCTACCTGGAGGCTGCCAGGCATCAGTCAACTCACAGCAAACAAAAGCACAACACTGTGGAGATTCCAGAGATTTTAGGAGTTGTATGCCAGGAAATGAGAATGAAACCAAATATGCGTTTCACGATCTTTCGTGCCCCTTTGTACGTTTATGAGAAATTAGGATTAAGTCTAATCCACATCGTGGCTTTGAAACTTGGGGCTGTTGAGCATCCAATATGTGGATGAAGAACCAGATAATAAATTATTATATATCATACATATGGAAATATATTTTTATATATATGTGAGATTACATTCTATCTGAAATCAACCCAAACACCTCTGTAAAGGAGCAAGATCTTACACATTTTCTAGGAGCTGTGTATTTGTAAATAGAAATTAAGAATAGAAAATTCATTTACTAAAACTAAGATGTTTAAAGTGGCATTTATAGTCTATTTAGAGTGCCTTTGCTGGCTGGGTGTGATGGCTCATTCCTATAATCCCAGTACTTTGGGAGGCCGAGGTGGGTGGATCACTTGAGGTCAGGAGTTTGAGATCAGCCTGACCAACATGGAGAAACTCCACCTCAAAAAAGTATGTTAAAAAAAAAAGTAGAGTGCCTTTGCCATTGTTTTAGCTTCACTTCAAACCTTTGTCCCAAATCTGTTTCTCTACCATTCCTACACAGATTTTGTAAACATGATCGTCAGTGGTAGGAAGGAATTCTCTAAAGTCACAAAGTAGATTTTCCTTTGAGAAAACAGGGACGTCACATGTTGTAACACTGCACCTGGTAGATGCCCAGGACTGTCGCTCAGTCATTCATTTCACTCCGCTATTTCCACGGCCCCCTGGGGAAGGAACGTGGCACCTAGTAGATTAGGGGAGTAAGAACCTGACTTTGTTTTTGTCAACAGCTTGGAAACTGTGTGTGTAGACCCTACACCTGCCAGGTTTGTGTGCACAGACTGCATCGTTCCTGCTATTTTTCTTTTTTTTTTTTTTTTTTTTGAATCTGTTATCTTTGTACCAAGAGCAAAATGAGTGTCTTGATTTTACCTTTGAGAATAGTTTTGTTTCTTTCACACATGTGTGAGTGCCAACTGTGTGCCTGGCCCTGTTCTGGGTATATGTGGTGGGCACAGCAGCAAACAGCAAAAATCCCTGCCGAAGGGAGCCTTCATCTGGTGGGATGGAGGCAGCAGGAGCTGTTGGGACCCCCAGAATGGTATGATCCTGCACCGGGCCCAGACTGGCTGAGCTGGTTACAAGAATGCGCTCCAGCCTGGCTTCGGGTTCCAGCCTCCGCTCTGCCACTTACCCTTGTGTAGTTGGGCAGGTCAGCCCCTCTGCACCTCAGTGTCTCCGTCTGTGACATGGAGTGGGGATCGTGCAGCCCTTGGGGCACTGTTGTGAGGTTACAATAAGCTAATGGATATGGGAAGTGCTTACAGCAGTGTCCAGCCCACCGCAGGTGCTGAGAGGTGTGGTGTTACGGGGGCAAGGGAAGGATGTGCACAGGCCAGCAGAACGGCAGATCTCCCACAGGGCTGGCTGTGGTCAGCTTTGCGGAGAAGGTGGCGTTGAATGAAGCCTTGAAGGAGCGATGAGTCATGCCACGTGGATCTGGGTATCCTGGGGAGGAGCCCCCATCCCAGCAAGGTGGCCAGGGGAGAGGCCCTGCCTCCAGGGCATATCTACGGCATTCACGGAGTGTCCTGGCAGTCGGCGTGGCTGGGAGGAGCGAGTTCAGGGCATGGCGAGTGACTCAGCAGGCATTTTGAGGACTTTGCCTGTTACTCTGGGCGACATGAGAGCTGTGGGAGGTGGAGGGTTGACTCCCTCTGACTTAACTGTCACAGGACTGTGGTGGCTGCTAGTTGGAAGTAGACGGAGGAAGGAAGCAGGGACACCGGTGAGGATAAGGAGGGAAGACAGTGATGTGGAGCTCCCCCGCCAGTCTCCTTGGAGGAGGTGAGGCGTGGGTAGGTGTGGCCAGAACCTGAAGGCAGAGGCCTGGGACTCCCGGTGGCTGAACGTGGGGCGTGAGGGGAGGGAAGCCTTAGGGATCATCTCTGGCGTGGCCTGGCCTGACCTGATGGAGCTGCCATGGACTGGGATGGCCAAGTCCTTCGGGAGAGCAGGGCTGGGTGCAGCCGGAGTTCAGTTAAGGACATTCCAGGCCTGAGATGATGTCCCACTTAAAGATGTTTCCTGGACCTGCTGTAACCGAGCACCACAAACAAAGGGCTTAAAACAGCAGGAATGGGCCGGGTGCGGTGGCTGATGCCTGTAATCCCAGCACTTAGGGAGGCCAAGGAGAGAGGATCGCTTGAGCCCAGGACTTCAAGAGTAGCCTGGGCAACACAGTGAGACCCCATCTCTACTAAAATAAAAATGAATTAGCCAGGCGTGGTGGTGCAAGCCTGTGGTCCCAGCTACTTGGTTGAGGTGGGAGGATCTCGGAGCCCAGGAGTTTGAGGCTGCAGTGAGCTGTGATTGTGCCAGTGCACTCCAGCCTGGGTGACAGAGTGAGACACTGTCTCAAAACAAAACCCAGGAATGTATTCTTTCACAGTTCTAGAGGCAGGAAGTCAGAAATGAAGGTGTTGGCGGGGGCGTGCATCCTCTGAGATTCCAGGTGGAGCCATCCCTTCCCCTTCCAGCCCCTGGCCATGGTCATCAGTCCTTGGCATTCTTGTGGCTCCGTCACTCCGATCCTTGTCTGCTGCCACTTGGCACCCCACCGTGTTTCTGCTTTCCGTGCATTTTCCTCTCCCCCGAAGGATGCCTGTGATGCTGGATTAGAGCTCACCCTGTGGGCTTTGTTTTCACTTGATTGACTGTAAAAACCTTTTTTTCCAAATAAGGACACACAGGTGCCGGGGTTAAGACTTCAGCATCTTTTTTCGGAAAACACATCTCAACCCATAAAAGATGACTATTAGCCAGCCAGGCGGAGGTGTTGAATAGGTAGAGCCCAGAGTGCATGGGCAGGCCTGGGCTAAGATGTAAACTTAGGGGTCGTCAGCATGCAGAAGGTGCTCAAAGCCTTAAGACTCAGTGGGAACACCAAAGGTGTGAGTGTAGATGGATCCCAGAAGTGATTCCCGAGCTGATCTCCGGGAAACGTCAGCAGGTCAGGGAGACGAGAAGGGGAGACGAGAAGTACCCAGCAGTGAGACTAAAGTGAAGCGTCAGAGGAGGAGGAAATCAGGAATGCGTGTGGCCCCAGGATCCAAAGTGAAGAACGTTTCCAGGAGGCGAGAGCAAGACTGAGTCAGATCCTACTGATGGGTCAGCTCGGAGGCAAACGCTGGCCCAGGCAAAGCTGAGGTCCTTGGCAGAAGCAACAGCATGACTGTTGATAAGATAATCCTAGGCAAACACTTGCCTGTTTTGATTTCTTTAGACTATAGGTTTTTAAACTTGATTTTCAATCTTTGGGGCTATATCTAAGTGGTCTGTTTTTATTTCTAAAAGATATGTTTATTCTGTAAACAACTGGGCACATGTCTGGACTTGGGATAAATGCTGGACATGAAACGCTGAGTGGCATACACACCTGCCCTGAGACACCGTTTACTGGGGAAGATGAGTGAGACAATGGGATGCATCGCAGCAGCCCGGTGACGTTGGTTCCCTAGGGGACTGCAGATTAAAACCACGGTGAGATACCATTCCAACACCCGTTATCATGGTTCACATTAAAAAGACCGGCAATACCAAATCTGGGGGAGGGTGGAGCAAATAAACCAAATGGCCCATGGATCCATTGCTCACGGGAATGTGACTTGGTGGATCCACATTGCAGACCCGTTCAGCAGTTTTCTTTAAAAAGTTAAAAATGCATCTAGCCTGTGATCCAGAATGTTTCGCTTTTACGTATTTACTCAAGAGTAATGAAAATATACGTCTGCAAAAAGACCTGGACGGTATGTCATAGCTGTCTTATTCATAGTAGCCTCAAACTGGACACAACCCAAGGGCCCGCCAGAAGAAGCAGAGGCAAATCACGGTGTGTTCCTGCAGACGGAGTACTTTCCCACAGTGAGGAGAAACAAAGGCAGCAACATGAGGGCGTCTCAAAGACAAACTGCTCATCAGAAGCCATGCTAGAAAAACAAACTCACAAAACCCCACATCGTTACGTTTACAGAATGTTCAAGAACTGATGAGACCAGTCTGTGGTCACAAAACCCAGAAAGTGACTGCGTCTGGGGACCAGAAGGGAAAGGGGCATAAAGGGACCTTTTGAGGTGAAGAGAGGTTTCTGTATCTCGGTTTGGGGCATGCTGTGCCAAAACTCACCAGGCGAATATTTAAGGTCTTGCATTTTTATTATACACAAATTATATCTCAAATAACCTAAAAAATGATGCTGATGACAGGTATTCCCAGGTGCTGTACAGGGAGGTGAGGGGACACCACCTGCCAGGAGGAGACTGGGAGGCATCCTGGGGAGGGGAGGCCACGTTGGATCAGGGTTTCCAGGCCAGATTTGGAAAAGCCCAGCGAAGGGCTAAACCTGGCTGCAAGCCCAGACGTGACAAAGAGCTCAGCCTTGGTTTCAAGCACCAATGGCCTAAAAAGGAAACCCGGCTATTTAACAGAATCCATTCTCGAGAACAGACGAGATCAGGCGCATTCAGGGTGATATGGCCACCGGAATCCATTCTCTTTTGAGGCTCAGTGTATATCTGAGATAACACCATTCCCAGCACCTCCCCCTCACCCCGCAAACTTCTTCATGGACTTTGTTAAATTTCAGTTTTGTCATTGCTTTTTGTATTCCCCTGATCAGTGTACTTTTTTTCTTCCAACTGCTGCATTATTCTTGGTACTTAGTTTTTTAAAAAATTATTCAAGAATATTGCCTTATTAAAATAACCTGATGCTTTCTATTTCTTTTTTTCTCTCCTTAAAACACAAAAGCTACAGATTCTCGTTGATACTGGAAGCAGCAACTTTGCCGTGGCAGGAGCCCCACACTCCTACATAGACACGTACTTTGACACAGAGAGGTAAGTGCTGGCCCCTTGGCTGGTGCGCTGGGCGGGGGCACTGCATGATCCGCATGCTTCAAAACACGGCAGACCGTAACAGCCAGAAAGCTGCTTCCTTTTAGGGGGATGCCGATACGTATGCGTATGTACATGTGCGTGTACACACGTATGACTGTGTGTATGCATACGTGCGTGTTCATTCCATCCGCAAATCCACAGCAGGAGTCTCCTAACAGCTTTCATGCATTTACATGAGACTCGTTTTAGAGAAATCCAAGTCAGACACACCTTCTATAGTTATCCCGGCGCTGGTGTTTGTTGCAGCAGCTTTAGTTCCGCGGTGGAGGTGGCCTGGAGCAGGAGGAGGTCTTGAGAGTCGGTGTGGCCACTCTGGGCAAGGGCGTGGGGCTGATTCTACAGCTGAAGGGATGCACGGAAACCCACCTTTGCATACTTCAGTAGGAGTTAAGCTGTGGTTCATGGAAACCATTTCTGTGGGTTGGTTCACAACACTCGTTTGGAAGAGTGAGTTTTGTGAGTACAAAGTATTAAGGCCCAAGACTGGGACTGCACATGAGCAACGGGGTGGAGTTCAGAAAAAAACCAGTGGAGCCAGATAGAGGTCTCCGGAATAGAACAAGCACTGCCCATGCAGGCTTCGGAGCAGCCCTGGCTGGGGTTGTGGGAGGCCCCCGGTGGCCTGTGGCCACCTTCAGCTCTGCAGGAGCCTGTGGGGTCTAGAGTCAGCCCTTCTGCGAACTGGAAGGGGCTCTAACACCGTGCACATTTTGACGTCACAACTATTTTTGCAATCCTGAAACTTAAACTCAGCAGACAGCACAGGGCAGCTGGCGTGCTGGTTTGTTTTTCAGGGGCACGAACCGTCTCCAGGCTCAGAACCGCCACCTTGGGTTTCCCTACTGTAAACTCTTTTCCTGACTTCCCTTTCTCACTTTCCTTATCCTTGGTGTTTTGTTCCAGGGAATAAAGGCCAGCTGTAGTTGGGGACAAAAGGAGAGGGAAAGAATAGCTGGAGTCTTCTGAAAATGCCAGGCAATTTGATAAAGCAAGATGACTTGTCGTGTAGGAAAGAAAGCATAGAGGAAACCCTGCATATCTGTTCTACCTATGCCGCGTCCTGGGCTCTGCTAGGGAGAGGGCTGTGGTGGCCAACGCTATATGAGGCTTCAGAAAAATGCGACTGGCCCCTTCCTCCAGGAACCTCTAGTTAGTTAATGTCTTCCTGTACTGGTAAGCTTTCTTCATTGATAATCCCGGATACAACACCTGGCCACTATATGATTGCTGTGTGCCCAGCTGTTGTTATAACCACAAATGTGTGTAGAAGTCGTGGTGGTGTTTCTCTCTGTGTGTGCAGCAGAGGCTTGGTTTATGATGGCTAATGCGGTCTCTTCCCACTCAGATCTGTGGTTCATCCAAGTCCTCAGTCCCCTCCAGCCATTCACTCTGTAGCTCTTCATGATGGAACTGGACTTCGAGGTGGTCCAAACCTCTCATTTTCATTCCTCCAGCACAGGAGGTCAGGGAGACAGGGGGCTTGCCCAAGTTCAAGTTTTGAGACCAGCAGCTCCCAAACCTTCAGCCTACACCTGCTTTTTTTTTTTTTTAATTGCATTTTAGGTTTTGGGGTACCTGTGAAGAACATGCAAGATTGTTGCATAGATACACACATGACAGTGTGGTTTGCTGCCTTCCTTCCCCTCACCTGTATCTGTCATTTCTCCCCATGCTATCTCTTCCCACCTCCCCACCCTCCCGTCCCTCCCCCATTTCCCCCCAACGGACCCCAGTGTGCAGTGCTCCCCTCCCTGTGTCCATGTGTTCTCATTGTTCAACACCCGCCTATGAGTGAGAACATGCGGTGTTTGATTTTCTGCTCTTGTGTCAGTTTGCTGATAACAAGTGGTTTGTCGTTCCCGGAAGTGACTGCAAAGGCCATGTGACTTATCTACATACACAACACCAAATGCCCTGATGGAATATGAGGGGAATAGAAGGGAAGTAATGTATAACCGGGTAATCGGTACTAGTACATGAACACCCTGGCTCCACCATGCTAGGAGGAGACCGAGCAGTGGGGGCATCCTGGAGGTGAGTTAACATCACCGTCAACACGGACGCCCAGTGTAGACTGATCCAGGCAGGCTGACGTAGACTCACACACCTTGAGCGGCTCAGTTTGCAGGTCTTAGTCTGTTGTACAGCTATAAAAGAATACCCAAGGCCGAGTAATTTATAAAGAAAAGAGGTTCATTTGGCTCAAGGTTCTGCAGTCTGTACCTTGAGCCTGTAGCGTGGCGCCAGGACCTCAGGCTGCTTCCAGTCATGGCGGAAGGGGATGCAGAGCCAGCGTGCAGCGATCCCATGGGAGAGAGGAAGCAAGGGTAGGGGAAGGAAGTGCCAGGCTCTTTTTTAACAGTCATCGGCCCTCCCTGGGACTAACAGCGATACCTCAGTCATTACCATGGGCAGGGCACCAAGCCATTCTTGAGAGATCCGACTCCCCCACCCAGACATTTTCCACCAGGCCCCACGTCCTACACTGGGGATCCGATTTCAACAGGAGAAGTGGAGGGGACAGATATCCAAACTGTATCAGTGGCTGATATGATTTTCCAAAATGGAAAAGAACGTTAGGAAAGTTCCAAGAAAAAAAAAACAAAAGAAGAATCAGCTTCCCTGGATTTTCACAGCAGCAAATAAATACACGGTGTATACTGAACCTTTGTAGAAAAGGTTTTGTGCGCATGTGAATGGGAGGTGCATTCTGTGCTACGTATCCAGCAGATGTTACCCATGCTGATGCCCGGAGCGACTTTGGAAAGCGATGTGGGACGGGAGCAATTCTTCATTTTGCACGACCGCCCTTCACACTCCGCGATAACCAGCATGCTTATCAAACACACCCCTAGAGTTTCCAAAACTTCCCGTAGGGGACAGGCCTTCCCCACTGAAAAAGAACCGCTTATCTGAAGGCCCTCGATGGTCCTAGCCCTGCGTGGCTTCCCCTGCAGAGCTCTAGTCTGTATTGTACCTTTTCCACGTTTCCCAGCACCGGGGCTCAGCGCCTGGGGACAGAACAAACACACGTGGAGCTTGCATTTCTCAGTTAGCAGTTCTTTTCCCCTTGGAATCGGTTTTTCTCTCATATCTGTAGATGCAAGATACACTAGAAAGAAACAGTACAGCACAGTAAAATCAAGGCTGGGTGATGTGGATAGTTACTTTCCAGATTTAAAGTGAACCATGCCAGTCAAGCCCTGTGGATGGCTGCTTTCTTCCTGGCAGGTGAATGGCAGTTCTGTTGCAGCCATCCATAGCCAGAGTCCATGAAGGTCAAAGTAAGCTTCCCGGTCCACACATCCTGGAATGCAGTTGTGGAAATATTCAAGGGTAAATAATGCGAACTGCATTATCAAGACTGTGCAATATTTCATCCGCCGTAAACAACCCAGCATTTTTCTCAGCCGCCTTCAACTGTGTTCAGTGTTTGGTTGAGCTGTGGTTCTCTTTGCGGAACACCGTGGGACGCATCTCTCTTACTCACCTGCTAGCACTGTTTGGTTTGTTCAGGCGGATTTTGTGCCCATCACCAGGTTCGTAGTAGTGGCAGATGGTTCCTGTTTTCCATACTTTGGGCTTCTCTAGTCCATGTGCATTTGATTCATATGAAAACTCCTGGGATCATCCAGAGTTCCTTTGATGACGAAGCCTTCCCTCCTGCTAATCTCACAAGATAATTCAGGATTCCTTGCCACCATTCTGACCACTCAAGGTCCTGATCTGTTTCTCCTTTTGTGGGTAAATTGCAAGATAAGTAACAGAACACAGTGATGTCTAGGAAAAACCCCTCAATGGTCCGTTTCACCCTGTTGCCGCTTCCGCCATTCAAATTCAGCCTACCTTCCTTATTTGCAAGTACTGCAATGACTGACTTATTACATACAACACATCACTCACCTTTTGGGAGTCTAACCTGGTACCGCCTTTCTTTTCAAGAGACCATTCTTCCACAGAACTGCAAGGTTTCCTCTTGGCTGAATCAGATGTGGTACGTCCCACTTCTGAGTTTGAGGCAAGTTCTATTCCTTCAGCTGCGTGCCTGCTACCATGCTAGCTTTACAGGTTAAATACATTCTTAAACTTACATTAATCTTGTTTCCTTGTATCTGCTTGTTACATGCGTTAGTATTTTTGATATGCGTTTTTGTTGAAAGATATGAATATTTTCTTTCAATGTCAATTATATTTAGTTAATTTGTCTAATGCTTTCATCTAACTTTAGAGTTGGCCTAAGTCATACTTTCAACCATCGTATTTCATGGGAACCAAGAGACCATCCTTTTGCCTTCTCCGTTTTTGACAAAGGTTTCTTTTCTGAGCTGTAGCTCTCTGCCCTGTGATGTGTCTGTATTTGCTTGTGCTTCTGATCTCTCCTAGTTATAATAAGATTCTGGTTGGGTTTGTCCGCCTCTGCTTCACGTCCTCAGTCTTTGGATATTCAGGTCTAATGCTTCCTGAAACATGTTACAGTAATTGGAGATTTGGCGTGGGGTTCTTTGACAAGATCTCTTTGATTTATGGAATGAGATGTCAGGCTACCATTAGTCATTTGTGAGCTCATCTTGATCAGAATCCATCTTTTCATGGTGGTGAATGTCCCAGTGAGTTACTATAGAGCAAACAAAAAAAAGGAAAGAAAAGAAAAAATCATGCATTTTTTAAATGTACATCTTTTTTAGCCAATAAAATCTCACCTCCAGCTATTTGGCCTGATGAGAGATCCACTACACCCATCCCTTGACCCTCCATGAATCTATTCGGAAAATTAAGTATATTTCCATTAAAATATCTCCTCACTTCTGTACTGTATCTGGGGTGAAACTCACAGAGCAAGAAATCCAATTTATTTTCCTCAACTAATGCTTGTAAGTGGAATTAGTGAATTAAAGAATTACCTGGAGACTTTTTTTAAGGAGGCTAAACTGGATACAGATCAAATGGCTTTGCATTCAATGAGGAAAGATTTTTTTGCCTGATTACTGAGATCATTTCTCAAGCCTACCCATCATTTGCCTGCTAGAAGAGGATTTGCCGTTTTGAAGCCTTTGAGCATTTAACATTATTGAGGACGTTGATGAATCACCAGGATGGGCAGGGTGAGCTTATCCTGAACCTCAGGGGTCTCATGCATTCAAGTCTGGTGACTTCCAGAGTCACATCTGGTCACCTGAGCCAGGACAATAAGCCCTACTGGTTGATTCCAGACCCTGAGAGCCCCAGGGAAATCCTGAGCAGAGTTCTTTAGGAGACTCAGCATTCCCTGAGTCAAATGGCTTAGGAGAACCAGACCTGACCCAAGGATTGAACTCTAGAATTCTGCACATCCCCCTTCTCTTTTCATGTTCTCTGCAAACAACAGCAGGTTTCTTTTGAAATAATAAAATGTTCTGTAGCTCTTTTCCCCTTGGTTCAATTGATTTCACTTTTTAGTCGTGCATTCCCTGAGCACTCTTATCAGAGGCAGAACATCTTCTGAATTTGGTTCAAAGTATTTTTTATTACTGTGAGTAGGCTTTTTCCTAGCTACCCACATCCCTGATTGATTGTGGTTTCTGAGCACCTGGAATGGACATTGCCAAGGAGAAGCCCAGCCAGGGTTCTCACTCCATGTATTTAATTATTGTGCAGAGCAATTGAGTAAGAATAGCTCTATAGGAGCATTTTCCAGAAAAAAGAATACATCCTGGTGATATGCTTTGGATGTGTGTCCCCTCCAAATCTCATGTTGAAATGTGATTCCCAGGGTTGGACGTGGGGCCTTGGGGGAGGGGTTTAGATCACGAATGGCTTGTTGCCCTCACCAGGGCAATGAGTGACTTCCCGCTCTGGTAGTTCACATGAGAGCTGGTTGTTTAAAGGAGCTGGGCCCCTCCTCCTTGCTCTCTTGTCCCAGCTCTCTCCATGTAATGTACTGTGTATCCCTTCACCTCCCACCTTGAGTGGAAGCTTCCTGAGGCCTCAGCAGAAGCAGATGCCCGCACCATGCTTCTTGCACAGCCTGCAGAACCATGAGCCGAAATCATACCTCTTTTCTTGATGGATTATTCAGCCTTGGGTATTCCTTTATAGCAATGGAAACATGGCCTAACGGACCTGAATTTTCTAATAATAACTCATAGGCTGAAAGTAGGTAGCAAGCGAGGTAATTACAGTAGCAGCTATGTTGTGCATGTCTGCTGTGTTCCAAGGTTTTGTTCTACATGCTTCACAGTATTAACTCTTTTAATCTGCATGATTAACTTCTCGAGGGATGACATTATATTATCATTTTTTAGTTGAGGAAACTGAGGCATAGAGAGAGTAAATAACTTGGGCCTGGGTCACACAGCTAATAAGGGATTGAACTCATATTTGAACCCAGCCAGTGTAACTCCAGCTGCTTCTTGTCTCTCTGGAAATGACACCAAAATATCCAGAGTGCTCCCTCTGTGAGGGACCAGCAACCTGGGCAGGAGGCCAGAGAAGACATGCTAAATAGATATGCAGGTTGGTTCAGTTTCTTACTAACAGTACAAATTCTATGGAGTTTCATATAACCTGGACAGAGTAACACTAAACTTTCAAAACAAAGTCATAGCACTGTAGACTGCTGGGGAAAGATATAATTACTCTACCAGAGCCGAGTAGGGTGGTGCATTCCTGTAATCCCACCACTTTGGGAGGCTGAAGCAGGCAGATCTCGTGAGGTCAGGAGTTCAAGACCAGCCTGGCCAACATGGTAAAACCCAGTCTCTACTAAAAATACAAAAATTAGCTGGGCATGGTGGTATACGCCTGTAATCACAGCTATTAGGGAGGCTGAGGAAGGAGAATCGCTTGAACCCAGGAGGCGGAGGTTGCAGTAAGCCAAGATTGCGCCATCGCACTTCAGCCTGTGTGACAGAGCAAGACTCTGTCTCAACAACAACAACAGCTAGGTGCAGTGGCTCACGCCTGTAATCCCAGCACTTTGGGAGGCCAAGGCGGGTGGATCACAAGGTCAAGAGATTGAGACCATCCTCGTCAACATGGTGAAACCCCGTCTCTACTAAAAATACAAAAAATTAGCTGGGCATGGTGGCGTGTGCCTGTAATCCCAGCTACTCAGGAGGCTGAGGCAGGAGAATTGCCTGAACTCAGGAGGCGGAGGTTGTGGTGAGCCGAGATCGCACCATTGCACTCCAGCCTGGGTAACGAGAGTGAAAACTCTGTCTCAAAAAAAATAAAAAAATAAAAAAAACCACCACCACCACCACCACCAACAAAGCAATTACTCTACCAGACCAGATGGTACAGTTTGGCTGTGTCCCCACCCAAATCTCATCTTCAATTGTAGCTCCCATAATTCCCACATATTGTGGGAGGGACCCAGTAGGGGATAATTGAATCAAGGGACAGTTTTCCACATGCCATTCTTGTGGTAGTGAATGTTTCATGAGACCTGATGGTTTTGTAGGAGGAAACCCCTTTCATTTGGCTCTCATTTCTCTCTTCCCTGCCACCATGTAAGACATGACTTTCACCTTCCACTATGATTGTAAGGCCTCCCCCCAGCCACGTAGAACTGTGAGCCCATTAAACTTAATTTTCTTTATAAATTACCGAGTCTTGGGTATGCCTTTATCAGCAGTGTGAAAACGGACTAATACAGCAGGAGTTGGCAAACGTTAGCCCATGAGCCAAATTTGACCTGCTGCCTGTTTTTGTCAATAAAGTTTTACCAGAACACAGCCACGCAAGTTTATTTACAGTCGGTGGCTGCTTCCACATTACAGTTGAGATCTGAGTATTTATAACAGAGATCCTATGTTTAAAAAAAAAAAAGGAGAGAAAAAGAAAGAAAGAAGGAAAAATATTAGCTGGGCTTGATGATGTGCAGCTATAGTCCGTAAAACATCTATTATTTTTTTCTTTACAGAAAAAACGTGCCAACCTCTGCACTAGATCTTCTTTTCTAAGCATTTCAAGATAATTAGCCTCAGTATATTTCTGAACTTAAGGAGTGAACCCAAATTGTCCAAATGGACTGAATAATTCAGGATTTTTATGCTATTTGACACAGCATGATCTGCACATGTACCCCAGAACCTAAAGTACAATTTTAAAAAAGTCGTAACTATCTTGGCACATGAACCTCTGTCTGCTTCCTGGGTATCTCCTTAGGGTCAGATTCTCAGAAGTGCAGTTACTGAATTAAAGATAGTTAACATTTTTAACGCTTATGAGATATACCAAGAATGAATTAATGAATAAAAGGCCAGATATGGTGGCTCATTCCTGTAATTCCAGCACTTTGGGAGGCTAAAGCAGGAGAATCACTTTAGCCCAGGAGTTGGAGACTAGCTTGGGCAGTATAATGAGACCCCGTCTCTACAAAAAAAAAAAAAAAAAAAAAAAAAAAAAAAAAAGAAAGAAAGAAAAGAAAAGGAAAAAAGAAAGAAAGAAAAAAATATTAACTGGGCTTGATGGTGTGCATCTATAGTCCCAGCTACTTAGTAGGCAGAGGTAAGAGAATCTCCTGAACCCAGGAGTTCAAGGCTACAGTGAGCCATGATTGTGCCACTGTACTCCAGTCTGGATGACAGAGCAAGACCCTATCTCTAAAAGAAATAATAAATAAATGAATAAATAAATAAATGATCATGGCATCTCTGGGCTTAATTTCTTTCCTGACCTTAAGCAAGACTGAACTAGTTCATGTAATCCCACAACAAAGACTTACTAACATGTGTTAATGTTTGCAGACTTACTATTAAAATAGAGTGGAATAAAGCCTGCAGGCAAGCAGGAACACTTCAGCATGATCTACTGGGTGACTTGATATTTAGCTTAGGATGATGATCATTTTCTTAGGAGGAGCGTGGTTTGCGTTCCCACACATTTCCCTAGAGATGTTTCTTAGGTTCCCTTCTATATTCCAGCAGTTTTCAAACTTAAATGGGCGGAGGAATGACCTTGCAGGGTGGGACACCCCAGGGCTTTGATGCCTGCTCTTCTATCTCCACCATGCTCTGCCCCCAGAGAGCCCCATGTCTCATTGCCTGCATTCAGGTGTCATGCAAACATGGTTAGAGCCAAGAGTTCTCTCAGCCGCTGGTCACTCTCGGGCCTGTTGTCTGCTTTGTGCCCGGTAACCACCAATCCCGCATGCATTCTCTCTCCGTCACGGCAGCATAAACTGAGGGGGCAGCATTTTCCTCCAATCTTGTGAACGTCGTCCTGCGTCAGTAGCTCTTACCTTCAGGGCCACGTGAGTGTCAGGCTCTGGCTCACGTCACAGTGATTCATGTTCTGGCATGCCATTGGCGTCACTGCCCTTATTTTGGTGTGAGTATGATCAGCTTCGGGGCATTGGGGGAACCGTTGAGAAGGAGCCGTGACATCGAGGACCCGGATTTCAGCAAGCAGGGCTCGGTCGTTATTTGTCACGGGAGTTGTATGTGTGAACCTGAACCGCAGCCGCTGCTGGCACGGATGGCGGAGCCTCCTTCTGGGGTGCTGGCACCTGTCAGTGTCACTGAGCAGCCGCCCAGCAGCTCTGCAGAGCCGGAGGACCAGGCAGGTGCCCAGACTGGGCAGTGTCCTTCGGAGGCTACAGTGGTTAAGCAAAGTACCTGACTTACAGGGTTTGACTTGGGTATAGGGGAGAATTACACTCAAGAGCCGTGCGTTTACAACCGTGCTTCCCTTCCACGTGGCATGGAAAACAGTTACTAAAACATTAGTGATTATGTTTTTTGGGGAAACTATCACTTTGCCAACATCGATGCTGTTAATCAGGAAGAATGGCTTACAGGCTCATGCTAGACTTTCTGTGGTCAGGATAGCTGCCTTGAACGTGGCAACCTTATCTTCGTGGTTCAGGGAACATGGATACATCGGATCGTACAATGGGCCTTTCTCTTCCTTCTCCAGGTCCAGCACATACCGCTCCAAAGGCTTTGACGTCACCGTGAAGTACACGCAGGGCAGCTGGACGGGCTTTGTTGGGGAGGACCTGGTCACTGTCCCCAAAGGCTTCAATGGTTCTTTCCTCGTCAATATTGCCACTATTTTTGAATCAGAGAATTTCTTTTTGCCCGGGATTAAATGGAATGGAATACTCGGCCTAGCTTATGCCACACTAGCCAAGGTAAGGCTAATCCATGGATTTAAGAAAATCAAATAGTAGGATGAGATTCTGAAAACCAAACCAATCATTAAAGGGCTGACGAAGGGGTCTCAGGCTCTCCTTGGAGACAGTGAGAGCCACGTGGTGGAAACTGACTAGCATTCACACAATTATATTTCTATTTTTTTTTTAAATTGAAGATAAACAGCATGATTCTTGGAAACTTCCTGTAAGATAGACTAATCGCATGAACTATTTTTGTTTTTATTTTCGTTTTATAGTTTAAAATGTGAACAGAATTTGAGTCATGTACCTTATGGTGTGTATTTAGGAGTTCTTATTAAGGTCGAATTAAGAGAAAACACATTTATTAAAAGTATACGTTTGCATGAAGATGGAGCCTGTGGGCAGCCCTGGAACACAGGCCGGGGATGGTGCTCTCCCCAGCCCGGGACTCAGCCTGTTTTCCCGCCACTGCAGGGGACACGTCAGAGGAGACACCCAGCACGGGAATCTGGGAGGCCTGCAGGCATGTCCTGGGGATAGCCAGCCCTTCCCAGGGGTGGTGAGCCACGGAGGAATCATGGAGCCCTGCTCTCACCATTGCCAGAGCCCCCCCAAATGGGGAAAGACAGAATTGGATGGTCCCCAAATATTTGTACTTGGGGCCAACCCAAAGGAAATAACGTCTATGTGCAGGAGGAGGGAGGCAGGCAGGGGAATTTCCACCCGGAGGCATTGCCAGAGCAGACGGGAGTGGACACCAGGGGCATGCACTGTGCTCCTGGAGTTCACACAGGTTTACATGTGCCTGTACCTGGTCACCGCGCCTGGCCTCACCTCGCTCAGTGGTAGGAGCCAGAGCCACATGTGGAAGGAAAAAGAAGTGATTGCTGGAGCCACAGCCCCCCACTGTCCCGTGAGGATAATCTTCCCATCCTGGGAGAATGTCTGTTCCACCTCCAGTTTATGAGCAGATGGGGTGAGGTAGGGAGGGCAAGAGGAATTTTACAACCCTTGGCCCCCCAGTTGCGGAGAGTCTATTAGGCTCAAGGCTGAGGAGATATGAGCTGTCAGTCACTCAGTGCTCGTGACTCCCCTGTGAAGCATACTTTGGAAGGTGGGATTCTCCCCATTTTCTTTTTTTTTTTTCCTTTTTTTAAAACTTTTTTTATTTTTTTTGAGACAGATTCTTGCTCTGTTGCCCAGGCTAGAGTGCAGAGGCCAGTCTTGGCCCACTACAACCTCCGCCTCCCAGGTTCAAGTGATTCTCATGCCTCAGCTTCCCGAGTAGCTAGGACCACAGGCACACACCAGCATGCCCGGCTGATTCTTTTATTTCTGGTAGAGATGGGGTTTCGCCATGTTAACTAGGCTGGCTTCAAACTCCAGGGCTCAAGTGATCCATTCACCTCAGTCTCTCAAAGCGCTGGGGGATTACAGCATGAGCCACCATGCCTGGCCATGTTCTCCCCATTTTCAAGATGTGGAGATTGAGGGGCAGCAAGCTGTTGTGCCTTTGAAGTAGAACATGGAGCCGTGGGTCTACTTAGTCTGCAGAGCCAAGGCTGGCTCAGGAACCTTTTGTCCTCTGTATCGTAGGGAAATGCAGATGGGTGAAAACCTGCATTCCTAAATACATTTTCAAAATGTTTTATCTGTATGTGACGGTTTGGAAATGAAAGATGTATGACTGGTTTTCTGTGAGTTGTTCCAAAGACAATAACCCAAAATTGCCTGTAATTAATACCATGTAAAGCTTCTGTGAGAACAGACTTCTTCTGGGTTTGCTCATACTTCCTGACTGTCCATGTGACATTTTATCTTTTCATTTGTGAAATTCCAAGATTACTGACAACTGGCTTCCCATGTCCAGGGTTTGAGGAGAGAACAGTAGGACTTGGAGGAAGCAGAGTGTTGCTGGGAACAGGGCCTGGCTGGCTGGGCAGTCTGCGCAGGGGTCTCTGAGACAGGGGGGCTGAGCACTCTGCAGTGGTCAGATTGGGTGGTGGCCCCTCATCCTTTCCAGGGGCTTCCTGTCAAGGCTGTGTTAGGAATATCCAAAGGCTTCTGACCCTGCAGCTGCCTGGGCCCCACTCCTGCTGAATCTGCTTCTCTCAGGGTTGGTTTTGGGCACCTGGATGCTTTTAAGTTCCTAGAGGGATCCCGAGGCGTAACCCTGGTGGAGAAGGACTTGGCGGACAGATTGTAGCTCCTTCATTGTGTGCCAGGGACCCCTGCAAGCACTTTAGAGGCGTCAGCCCATCGGAGCCCCAGAACAGCTCCAGAAGGCTGCTGTTCCCCCCGTTTCACAGGGAAGAAAGCAAAGGAACAAGTCACTCCGCTGGCAAGGGGCACAGCCAGTCTTCCACCCGTGTTTGCTTTGCTCTACTGCCTCCTGAGAAGGTGCGCAGAGCAGCGGCTGGGCCACCCCCAGGCCCGCCCCGGTATCCCAGGAGGGGATTTTGGTCTCACCGGTTGACCCACCCGCTCACAAGGGTTTTGACAGAGAATGCCTACGGAGATTGTGCTGGATTCTGCCTCGGAGTTCTGCAGAAGCTGAGACGAAACAAGGAAGAGGTCAAACACAAATGGACTAAAGCAATGGCAAGATTCGTATCCCTTGCATAGTGGAGTTCCCCTCCTGCTCCCTCTGCAATCACAGTCTTCGTTCTCACAGACAATAACTAATCATTCCTGTGAAGACCCATGGGTACCCAGGGGTGCCCGCGGCATCTGTGCTACTATAGTTGTTTTTATCGAAAAGTAGCAACTCAGGGTCACCAACTCCAGTGTCTCCCACTTGTCCATATCTAAACTCAAGTCTGTCACTGACTTCCTCCATGACCCCCGGCACCCCCGGCACACCCCCACCTCACCCCCACCTCATAGCTCTTCGCAGACCTTCCCTCTTCCCTTTGAGTGTCTCTGGAGGAATGAGGACGTTCTTGGCATGTCTTGCTGGACGTGAGAGAGGCACAGAGCACGTGAGGGCTTCTGAAATCTGGCCTCTGGGGATAAGAAGCCTTTCATGCTTCCGGACTATATTTTTGTGCCTTTGCTGATGCTTTCCCACCAGAGTTCATCAGGCAAAACTAAGCCTCGCCCCAGGCTCTGGGGTCCGGGGGATACTGTTCTCCCGGGTCGGTCACCTCTCGTTTGCATGGTGGACAGCTGCGGCTGACAGGAGAACAAAAATGTCTGCGGCCATGGCAGCTCCTAGAGAAACTCTTCTCTCCTTACTCCGAAGTGTCTAAGATTAGGATCCACCACCTGCCACGGTAACCCACTTTCACGGCTTCTCACACCCCCTCACAAGGCAGTCATGATGATAGATGTGACTGCGTCGAATGGTTTCCAGAAATACGATCTTATTTGTACAACAGAGCCGTACCCGAAGGAAAAATACCAACCAGTGGGAAGCTCTGTTGGGGCTTTCTGAATTCCTAGACCTGATCACAAGCTGGTTTATTGTGGAACCATGAAAAAATTAAATGTAAACACCAGGAATGTTGTCTGTGGTGCATGGCGTCTACACTGGTTCACCCGTGTCTACGATGTGCATCCTAAGCAGGTGTCCTTCTTTGTCACCCTCCCGCAGCCATCAAGTTCTCTGGAGACCTTCTTTGACTCCCTGGTGACACAAGCAAACATCCCCAATGTTTTCTCCATGCAGATGTGTGGAGCCGGCTTGCCCGTTGCTGGATCTGGGACCAACGGAGGTAGTCTTGTGGGTATCTTTTAGTCTTAAAGGGGCGAAAAATCACACATTGATGGGCTGTTTTTTTTCTGTTTTATTAAACACCTGAGCAGAAATATAACTATTGGGCATGTAGGTGTGCATAGGTACTGTAAAACTTTAATCATCCTTGTTGTAAATCTTTTTAAAAATGGCTAAAATTAGACAATCCTTGATGTCACCCTGCCATCTGGAAGGATGATTTCTCATCCTTCTCCAAACTCCATTAAAGCTTTTCCTTACTGTCCTTGGAAGTGCCCCGCTTTCTGTGGGTGGGGGTTGGGGATGTGGTGAGTGGGCTGGACTGTGGGTAGGGGGCAAAGGAGAGTTCATGAAGTTGGCGCGGAAATAGAAGGCCTTGTAGACCGTTTCTCGCTGTCTCTCCACACGCACACGTACCACAGCAAAAGCATTTGCTGCTGAAACAGAACCAAGGCCGGCAGCACCACGGAAATGCTGGAGCCTGAGATTCCCTCCAGGGCCCTGCCCCCAGACATCGAAAGCTGTAGGGGACAGGAAGAATGCACTAGAAGGGGGTACCACCAGCCCCTTTGCTGTCTGACTGTGAGAGGCGGGCTCTGCCCTGATCCTCAGCTACTTTGATTTTCTACCATTTCTGGGAAGAGGGTAGCGTAGCGTTGGTGAGGAAATGTTTTACAATCTTGCAAAATGAAGCTTTGATCAGGGAAGCTCTTGTTTTTCTGTTCTCTGACCTCCGAGGAATTAAATAATTGTCAGTCAGTGTGGTTAACTGTTTTATTGCATTTCTTTGAAGGAAAATGTCAATATTGTAAAGCTGAACATGTATGTACTTTCTTTGGATAAGAGAAATCACTAAAGCGTCTTGTTTAGACTAGGGCATAATATCATCTGACCTTTGCAGACATGAACCCGTAACATTCCTTGTTTATTTTATTTTATTTTATTTTTTGGGATGGGGTCTTGCTTTGTCACCTAGGCTGGAGTACAGTGGTGTGATCTCGACTCACTACAACCTCTGCCTCCTGGATTCAAGTGATTCTCCTGCCTCAGCCTCCTGCGTAGCTGGGACTACAGGCGTGCACCACCATGCCTGGCTAACTTTTGTATTTTTAGTAGAGATGGGGTTTCACTATGCTAGCCAGGCTGTTCTGGAACTCCTGACTTCATGATCCGCCCATTTCAGCCTCCCAAAGTTTGGGATTACAGGCGTGAGTCACCACACCTAGCTCCTTGTTTATTTTTTAAGCGTTTATATTTGTTTCATGACATCACCACAAAGTAGAAGCTTTGATTGCAGTGAAGTTTCACTTTACAAGCGCGTGCTTCTGTGTGTAACCCATCGACACGTCTGTGTATTTTTACTCTTATACCTGTAAATATTTTCTGTCCCAGGTCCTGGGTGGAATTGAACCAAGTTTGTATAAAGGAGACATCTGGTATACCCCTATTAAGGAGGAGTGGTACTACCAGATAGAAATTCTGAAATTGGAAATTGGAGGCCAAAGCCTTAATCTGGACTGCAGAGAGGTATTCATGCTATAGTCTCTGTTGTGTCTTTCTGTGTATGCCTGGGTCACTTAAATATGACAGCTGGAACCTGTCTATGACAAGAGAAGGTACATTACATTGTATGATAAAGGTTCATTGCATGAAAAGATTCAGGTCCTTGCTGTCCAGTGAGTTTTAATCAATGAATTGTTTTCCCTCCCAAACATTGCGTCCTCCCAACCACTCATCTTCATAGGGCAAAATTAGCATTAAATGGTGAGTGAAGAGAACTATCTGAGCTACACCTTTCACCATTCATTCACCTTGGACTGATGGTCCCTGAGCTCAGTTTAAGAGGTTGAAATAAGCAGATTTTTAATCAGTGTAGGACATATGGCATCAAAAAAGATCATCAGCTTTTTCTCCTCCAGTCACAGCTAGCCAGGCCCCCAGAGCACACAATTCTCCCCGAAGAACAGTCATGCTGTAAAGATGTGTGTGGCTCGGTGGTGCGAAAGTGGCCACATGCAGAGCTTTGACACCGAGCCTCTTAGGACCCGTGTTCCCGCCCTGTCACTGTGATTTGGCTTGTTCATGACACATGACAACATTGTGATTATGATGACTTGTGGGAGCCTCAGTCTTCTGCAGCCCTTTTAGAATGCTTTATAAAAATCATTCTGGGCCGGGCGCGGTGGCTCAAGCCTGTAATCCCAGCACTTTGGGAGGCCGAGGCGGGTGGATCACGAGGTCGAGAGATCGAGACCATCCTGGTCAACATGGTGAAACCCCGTCTCTACTAAAAATACAAAAAACATTAGCTGGGCATGGTGGCGCGTGCCTGTAATCCCAGCTACTCAGGAGGCTGAGGCAGGAGAATTGCTTGAACCCAGGAGGCGGAGGTTGCCGTGAGCCAAGATCGCGCCATTGCACTCCAGCCTGGGTAACAAGAGCGAAACTTCTTCTAAAAACAAACAAACAAACAAACAAACAAAAAAAAAAACATTCTGACCTGTTAGCACTTCCGCTCTTATTGCCCATCATATCCCACCATCAATTCTCACGTACGCAGGTACCTCTGAGAAACTAAAGACTGATAAAAATGGCAATCTCTTCCATTGCAAATCTGTGTTTATTGTCAAGAGGCACTTATTGGTCAATTAAGAACCCAGTGGTAGAATCAAATGTCCGAATGTAAAACAAAATACAAAACGTGTGTGTGTGTGTGTGTGTGTGTGTGTGTATTAGCGAGGAAAAGCCTGTATTTGGAGGTGTGATTCTTAGATTCTAGCTTCTTTCCTGCCCACCCCATATGCACCCACCCCACAAAAGAACAAACAACAAAATCCAGGACATCTTAGCGCAACATTTCAGTTTGCTACAGGCCTTTTACATATTTACTTTTCTCACATATTAAAAAAAATGAAAATTTTATGAATAAGCTAAGTTATATTTTAAATTTTGTTTTTATACTGAAAATAGTGTTTGTGAAAAATGCTAATAAATCGGTATATTTCATGTTTAAAAAATTCTTAACTCCTCCTCCCTTTTGACGTCATTGGAGGAGACTTCCTCATGAGACCCACGGATTTGCCTTAAGGCAGGAGGATCTAGTTGCCCAGACTCGTTCCATCCACGGGCAGCCTTGCCCATGCAGCTGTGCCCATAGTGGTTGGGGTGGCTTGTCCAGTGTTGGCCACTGGCCTCAACCTTCTCCCTCTGCCACATAAAGAACATTGCAGGTGGGGATGGGGCTGGCAGCACCTGTGTGTGTCTCAGCCTATGAATCAGTGTGGCTCTGGTTCTGTTCCCAATGCAAACATGGGATGTCTATTGAAAAATTGTCCCTCCTTCTTCTCTTCATTAGTGAGGTCATAGAGAGTTGATCTGTGTAGTTTGTGCAGGTGGCTTTTAGTATATTTCAGCCTCAAAAAGCAAATAGGTCTTCCCTCTGCCCTGGGGCAGGAATGGGGGTCCTCAGTGAAGGAACTTGGGCAGCTCTGAGTGAGGAAAGAGCTGTGCCTTGGGAGGGCTATTGATTTGCGAACCTGGGTCATGTCCCCTGCCTTTCCTGGGCCCATTTCCTTGTCTCTGAAGTGAGCGTGTTGGGCTGGAAGACCGCTCGTTCCCCGGTTCTGAGAACATAAATAAACAACTGCAGGCCTTGATGAGTGCATGACTGCCTGGATGTGTGTGTAACAGAGAGATGGTGATGGCCACCGGAGCCGCGCAGGGTGGGGAATGCCACCGTCACTCACACGCCTTCCCCTTTCTCTCCCGTTTTAGTATAACGCCGACAAGGCCATCGTGGACAGTGGCACCACGCTGCTGCGCCTGCCCCAGAAGGTGTTCGATGCAGTGGTGGAGGCTGTGGCCCGCGCATCGCTGGTGAGTCCTCAGGACAGTCGCGGGTCCCCGAGTCGCGGGGTTACAACCACCTGCTGAGGAGCAGCACAGCGTGTTCTGAGTGTCTCTGAACTATTGCTCCATGCATTTCAAATGTTCATATGTTGTATTTGTACCTTTTATGTGTAATATAGGTGCAATATGTAGACATATTTTATATGTATTTCAAATCTATATTCTGAAGGATTTTGTTTCAACCGTTACTTGTTAATTTCACAGTCCTCTCTGATGTTAGCAAATGATACCTTCACAAACCTCAGAGGACTTGGATCTGAATGTGCAGGGCCCTCTAGTATTTCACATAATAGTTCAGTTGGTGTAGTTTTTCTTTAATCTGTGAAAAACAACACTTGGTAATATAACTATATTAGAATAAACAATAAATCAAGAATATACTTATAGACTTCAAAACACATAAACCAAAAATTTTGATCCTTTTTGGCCTGCATCTCTGCAGTGATATCTTAACTTCTGTTTCTGTAAAACAGTATCATTTTTTCACAGAAGATAAAGGTCCGTCAGCCAGTCCAATAATCACTTTATGGTCATGTTCTGAAATACAGCTGAAGTTATGATTGTAGCCAGCATGTCTTTATGGGACCTGGCTGATGGTGTTCCTGGCGTGACCCCCGACTTTCCAGTCAGTTCACGGCAATAGACATTGGCTACAGCACAGCTTTGGGGATGAAATAGAATTAAATTTATTCTAGTTTTTGTCACTTTTAGCTGGATGCCTGAGGAGGGGTTTTGTGCCCCCGGAGAGCCTCCGTACTCCCAAGTGAGGGGTGGTTGTGAGGTTTGGGTCAAACGCTTGGTGTTTAGTAGACACTTGGAGCTTCCATTTAAGGTCCAACCACACAGCACTGCTGCTATTTGTATAGACGCGAGGTGAACGTTCCTTTTGGCTTCCTGCGAGTTCTCGGAGCATCTGTCCACGCAACCTTGTGAGGTCGTCAGAGGCTCTGTGCTGCGGCCCCGGCGTGGGGCTCACTGTCCTGCTGCTCTGCTGTGATGGCTGAGTTCAAACAGCGGCCGATAGGAGCTCGTGCAGTGGATGCCGCTCATAGCAGAAACGTGACAGGCGGGAGACGGCTTTGGGTTGTCCTGAACCCAAACTTCAAATGCCTGTAACTGCTGCGGGAAGAGTGGCACGCGGATGAAACAGACACAGAGGGAAATAAGCAGGAAAGGTTGTGGGCCCTTTTGGAAGCAGCGGGACTCAAGGCAGCCAGCTGCCTGGCGCAGCTGCCACTGAAGCCGCAGCAGAGTCTCCATCTTTCCCACTATCTGCTGAATCAGAGAAAGTGGCAGGTAACATTTTTGGTGCCTTAAATTTAGAGCGCGTGCTGAAAATCAGACCGTGCTTAAAATAGGGAGTGATATCCTCATTTGTTAAATGGTAAAAATGCCCTCAGCAGGATTAGTGTATCTTCCAACTTAATATCCTGAATGGAAAAGTCTGACCACCATCCCAAAGACATGTTTGAAGCACGGCGTGAAAATCCAGCAAGCTCACGCCTGTAATCCCAGCACTTTGGGAGGCCGAGGTGGGTGGATCACCTGAGGTCAGGAGTTCAAAACCAGCCTGGCCATCATGGTGAAACCCCATCTTTGGAAAAAAAAAAAAAAAAAAAAAAGAAAGAAAAAGAAAATCCAGCAAGCTGTGGACTGGCCGGGCCCCTGTGCCGTGCGACGCAGGACCGCGGGACTGCGTGGGGCTGGCATTCCCGTGTTCATCGTGGCCCGCGCTGAGCCCTGACTGACTTTGCAAGGAAACCACAAGGTAGAAAGAATGAGATCACAACATTTGTTTGCCTTGTCTAAAATTATCCTCTGATTTCGTCCAGTGCCTGTGTCAGGAGGAGAAACCCGGGGAGCCTGCTTGTCTCGGGCAGGGGAAGCATAACAAAGGCGCGTCGTGTCTCTGTCTTACCGTCTCTGGACCAGCGTTGTGTTTGTTTTTCTTATCTACCAGGTCCCGGTAAGCCGACCTCGTTGGCTAGGGTTTCCTCCGGTTAAGGAGAGGGCTGGCTTCCGAGACCTAAAGACAGCACAAACGCTGGGCTGTTGTTCGGATGGGATTCTAGAGAGTAAGGGCTTGGAGTTCTGTGTTTACAAATGAACCTGGAGGGGAGTATTGTTCGAGCTGCAGCTCACGCAGGGGCACGGGGACCGGGGCCCATTCGACCCTGCCACGGCACCCGTGTGGCTCAGTCCCTGCGCTTCTCCAGGAGGAAATCCAGATGCAAAATGACACCCACTTTAATGACTTCTAACTTTAAAACTCTGTGATCTGAGGGTTGAAACTGGCCAAGGACACGTGGCTTCACCCCCTGGGAGGCTGCCAGACCATGGCTCTGGGGACAGGAAGTCCCGCATCCAAATCTGAGGCAAGCTATCCAGGCCAGTTACTTGGCTCCTCAGAGTCTCATTGCCACCTGCCATTGGAGCTGGACATGGCGCTGTCCTCTGAGCTCTGTGCCCCACTGCCGGCCTGGCCACCGAAGCTCTTCACCAAATCTGGCTCTTATGAGCTTGTCTGAGGAGGGGCTCTCCCTGTGATGCACATCTCCAGTCAACTTCTGTTTTTTAACAAAGCCAAGATCTATTAATGTCAGCATTAGAAATTTCACAAATCAGTCACAAATGGTCTGAATGGAGAACGCTGGATGGATGGATGAACCAACCAACCACGGGGCTTTTGCTCTAACTTCCCCTTTGGCTTCTATGAGACCCTCCTCCCCCCTCCTTGGACTCTTCCTGCCCCTATGCCCTTCCTCCTGGGGCTTCTTTTTCTGGCCTGAGCCCCCTGTTCTTGCTGCCTGCTCCCCTACATGATGATACCATCCTTAGCCTCATCAACACCTCCTGCTCACCTGCCAGCGCCTCTGGGATGTGTGTCTAGCCCAGGCCATCCTCTGGGGTTCAAGGGACTCAGAACTAGTGAGCCTGACACGTACACTTCGATGCATGAACCACGTTGATGTGCTGCAGACCTCAGCCCTCTGGCAGATGACGTGTGGTCACAGCATTCCTTCACAGTGGCGGCCCCGGTTCTCTCCCGGTCTCATCTTCCATCCCTGTCTGTCTTCAGCACCAGCTGTGTCCAGCAGGCAGGTTCCACCGCAGCATCTTGCATGGTGTCCCCGCCACACACCTCCCCAGCGCCCACTTGACCCTCCAGCCCAGCTTCTTGGACAGACAGTCCCTCCTCCCAGCCATGACCTCTTCCTGCTCTGCCCCACGTGGGACACTGCCCTGGATGTGTTACAACAGACACATCACACACGCAGTCCCTCCCCGGCAGGCCCAGGGCAGATAGCTGGGGAGCCTCCCTGTTAGATCACGCAGGTGTCGTTAACTTGCCAACTCAGCAACGACGGGAGATGGGCAGACGCCACCTTCCTTCCAGTTCCCTGGTGAGAGGCACAGGTGGACATCCTGTGTTGCTGGCCACCTTTTTGTCCCTGAATCCCGTTTATTTTTTTACACAGTTATTCACCAGGTCTCTTCTGTGTGTGATGGGTTAGGGCTGCAGTGGGGGCCAGGCCACAGACCTCTATCCTGAGAAGACATGAACTCTAGTGCAGGAGAGACACCTGTATCACACCGATCAGTGTGGATTGTTATCTGCCACAAGCAGAAAGGCCAGGAAGGAGAGGGGCACGGTGGTGTTCTAGTGTTACAAGGGGAAGCCAGTGAGGGTTTCCTGGATGAGGTGGCATCTGTGCTGAGATCTGGAGGAGGAGAAAAATCTCCCAAAGGAGCAGAGAGCCCAGGCTCTGCACCAGGAGGCAACTTGCTGGGCTCATGGAATTCAGAGAGCAGGTGATAAGCAGAAGGGCCTTGAAGGCGAAAATTAGGATTTCTCCCTTCTAAAAGACCTCTGCACTCTGCTCTGTGGCCTTGGGCAAGTTACTTCACCTCTCTGTGCTTTGCTTGCCTCATCTGTAAAGTAGCGAGGATAATGCATTACACCGGCTGAGAATTGAAGTAATTATTGCTGCAAAGGGCTTCTAAGGGTGCCTAATACTAGTAGGTACTTCTGTGTCTTGACAATTTCAATCATTATTATTTTGTCATCACTGTCACTGTTCCAGGGGACTAATGTCCCTGCTGTTCTGTCCAAATTAAACATTGTTTGTGCCCGTGGGCATCTGGCGAGGTGGCTAGGAGAGCCCGGAGCCATTTCCTGTTGATGCGCCAGACTAGTCGTGGTTTCTCATGTGATCTTGTTTTGTCTAGATTCCAGAATTCTCTGATGGTTTCTGGACTGGGTCCCAGCTGGCTTGCTGGACGAATTCGGAAACACCTTGGTCTTACTTCCCTAAAATCTCCATCTACCTGAGAGACGAGAACTCCAGCAGGTCATTTCGTATCACAATCCTGCCTCAGGTATGAACTTGGATTTGGGCTGTGCTCTTTTTAACATGCAAAAGTGAAAGCATTCCATGCGTGACACATATATGAGATGTCACACCTGCATTAACTATCATCACCGCCATCATGCTGCAAAAGACAGCCGCACTTATCACCGCCCCTGAGTCCAGGCAGGGCAGCGGCCCTCAGCCGCTCACTCACATGTCTCCACTCAGCTGGTGGTTGGCCGGACCCTGGCTGGCCTTCACCCAGGCTGTTGTAGGACGGCCTCACTCACATATCTGGTGGCGAGGTGGTGGAGGAATGGAGCCATGCGTCTCTCTCCATCCGGTGACTGAGTCACACATGGTAACAGGGACCTGAGAGAGAGAAAGGACCTGACGTGCAGGGGCTCCCACAGTGTCAGCCCAGAACTGGCCACTGCCTCTTCCATGGTGCTGCTGCCCACACAAGCCCAAGGCCAGCCCGGATTACAAGGATGGGGGAATAGACGCCCCTCACGCTGGGAGGAGCCACAGAGCCGCATTGGCAAGGGCTGGCTACAAGGGAAAGGGGAGAGACACCTGGAGACATTTTTGTCGCAGTTAACACATCACCATTAAACTAGGTATAAAGGATAAAACTGGGCTGGGCGTGGTGGCTCACACCTGTAATCCCAGCACTTTGGGAGGCCAAGGCGGGCAGATCACCTGAGGTCAGAAGTTTGAGACCAGCCTGGTCAACATGGTGAAAGCCCATCTCTACTAAAAATACAAAAATGAGCTGGATGTGATGGAACGTGCCTGTAATCCCAGCTATTTGGGAGGCTAAGGCAGGAGAATTGCTTGAACCTGGTAGGTGGAGGTGGCGGTGAGCTGAGATCGCACCACTGCACCCCAGCCTGGTCGACAGAGTGAGACTCCGTCTCAAACAAACAAACAAACAAAAAATACTGGATTGTCCAATTTGAAGACATCGTTTTTTTCCTCCCTGTACTTCCAGTACCCACTGACCCCCTCTTCATCCTGTGGGTCTGCTGAAATGGACCACACCTGTCTTCCTCAGTCCCATCTCTCACCACTTCCTCCTCCCCTCCGTTCCTGAGCCCTCGCCCTGTGGCTCTCACCAGCACTTCTGTCACCTGCAGAGCGCTGCCATGCCCCCAAACCCCCATCCTCTCTTCTTTTTGAAACGGTTGTCGGATTGCTCTTCCTAGACCACCGCCTTCACCTGAGCCTCCCCTGCTGTGAGCAAGCAGGGCACCCCCACCATGTAAATGCTCAGGGCTTCTGGCATAGCTGTCCATGGACTCCCACCAGACCCCACCCCCTAGTTCTGCAGCATTCCCACTGCACCCCGACCCTCTGCCACGTGGCCATTGACCCTCAGGGCCTCTTGCCTGCAACTGCCTCCCACCCCGTGTTCCACCAACCCCTCTGCCTGAAATGCCCCCCCTCCTTACTCCGCCTGTACATCCAGATTCTTCCCATCCTTTAAGACTCAACTCAAACAACCCAGCTTTTGTTGAAACTATGATGAGCAGAATAACCCATTTGTGAGGTTGCACCTCCCACTCAGCACGCATATTTTCTGTTCTGCTCATCTGGCATGGAATCATATCTTTAGGGTACGTTGTATGCTGTTGCCTTTTTCATTTGACTTCTGTTTTCTTCTATTTCATTTTCTATTAATTATAAGTTCCTCGAAGATGAGAGCTGTGAGTGTAAAAGATTATCCTTCCCTCCCCAACGCCACCAGGCAGTGGAGGGAAAGGGCATCCTAACTGTCTGTGGAATGGACACATCAGTGGGTCTTTGTTGTAATTTGATGAACTTGGGATAAAGCGGATTGGACAAGGAAGGAGGAGTCATTTTGGGAGAAAAAGGAAAGGGTACTGCCGCCTCTTCCTCATTTTCAACCTTACCCGGATGTGTGTCCCAGAAAGGGAGAGACCTGGGGGAAAGGACTGAAAGCTTCAGGAGAAATTCAGGCCAACAGGAGACACCTGCTGTCACGCAAGGCTTGTGTTACACGCCTAGCACTGCCCTGCCCTCACGTTGTGACTTTGAGCAAAGTATTTAGCCGTGTCTATGTCTCTTTAACTATAAAGAAGAAACAATAATACCCACCAAAGACATTTTCAGAAGAATGCAGTATCCTTGGATGAATGGCACTGCCCTGAGCTATGTTACAATGCTGTGTTTTCAGCATCTTTAAAATCGTGTGCTCTTGATAATTGCATTTTGGCCAGTAGAAAAGCAGGATGTGGACGTTATTTCATCAGTGTGGTGTGTAATAATGTCAGAACCCAGCTTGAGGGTGCAGGTGTGCACTGCTGAATAAATGTCAGGCACGAAGGACTCATAAGCAGGAGGAGAAGGCAGGCATTTGGGGGAACCTCTTAGTCCAGGCGGGTCACAGCCATGAAGGCTTGCTTGGGCTCCTCAGTAGCTTTTAGGACCCAGCACTGGGCAAGCTCAGAAGCAGAATGAGAACGGTTTGGGAGCATTTCATGTTTCATTTGCACATCTCTGCATAAGAATTCATTATTGCTTTCACTTACAATGGTAGGTATTTTTTGGTTGACTCCGACATGTTCACATTTTTTTATTTTTAAAAAATCCAATGTACCTGTTGTTTTCCTGATTTCCTGCCCAGTGTCACGTCCCACTTGCCTTCCATTCCCTTGCTGGGAGGGGACTCCAGTAGGAAGCTGGGAAAGATCACCTGGTGAGACCCCACACGCGCCACGTTTCCCAGCAGAAAGGCTCTGCCCAGCAGCCTTTCTAACACTGAGGGAAACCGCCAGGAGTCCTTGCCCCCACCTGGGACCTCTCAGACAGGAACGCTAATAGGTGGGCAAACGATCGCTCCTGCAGCAAGGAGTCAAGTCACAAGCAATTACTTTAAACTTTGCCTACACCCAGCACTATTTTCCGAAAGCCCGTGGGCTGAATCCTACGTGACCTGTTGAAAAGCAGCGGCCGCCCGCCCACGGGGGTGCTCCGAGGTTTCTTCACAGCTTCCGCATTGTCCCGCCTTGGCCTGCTCTTCAGAGTGGTCGCAGGGCGGCCCCTCCCTGCCGGTGTCCTCCCAACCTTTTCTGCCCCCTCCAAAATCACCCCCTTGCAGTCCCTCGGACCCTCTACAGCCGGAAGGCCCCGGACTCTGGGTATTAGTGTGCCACCTCTTCCTCCCAGTGGTTCCTGCCTCTGCTCGTTGAGGCTGATCATTACTCACGGGAAGGTTCGTTTTCTTACTCGTTCTGCACTCCTGCTTTTCTCCCAATAGGTGGTATTTTGTCGTACTCAGCTGCTCTACTCTCTCATGGCCTGCATTTGAATTATTTGCTAGTCAAAAGCCAAGAAATGGTTCTGCTGATAGGCTAGTGATTTGCTCACTGATTGGGTTAAGGTTTGACCCATTTCCCTGCATACTGTTGGCTCCAGGGATCTCCAGGGCCGACCTGAGTCCGTTTAACACTGCGCAGCACCTGTGGGAAGCGGCCCTCTCACAGGGCGGAACTTCTGACCCGCTGATGCCGTCCTCTCTCTGAGGCTGATCACGTCTTCCTCTTTTCACTGAGGAAATTGTCCTGCCTTTGTCAGACTGCCTACTTTTAAAATTGTGTCTGCCCGACGGGGAGGTGCATGATGGGCTCTAGGCCAGCTAGGAGCCATTGCAGTGGATTCCGAGGGACAAGGACAGTGAAGACTTGGCCTGGGTGGGGCGAGGGAGGGATTCAGTTCTGCTTCAGTTTCACAAGAAGGCTCGCAGGGGTCTGGTTACCATCTCCATGCAGGGTAAGAGAGAAAAGGACTGGCTCGGAGCTTCAGGGCCTCAGGAACTGGGTGAACCACGAGTCTACTGAGACAGAGAACCGTGGGAGAAGGCTGATTTGGGGGGAGAATAGCCAGCATTCACGCTTTTACCGGTTACCCGGGAGAGGCTGACTGAGAGGTGGACAGGCAGGTGGACGTAAGTGTGTGGCAATGGTGGCCCGGGTCTGGGCTGGACAGGAGGAGGTGGGAGTCTAAGGTGAGACCACGGGATGGGGCCAGATGGGTCACCCAACGAGGGAAGATTGAGAGGAGGCCAGAGTCCAAGAGTGCTCTGATGCTTGCAGGGGAGGAAGGTGAAGGAAATCCAATACAGGTGCCTGAGAAGGAGTGGCCTGGGAGTTAGCAAGAAGAGTATGGCCCTCTTAGAGCCCAAGTGAGGAAAGCTTCCACGCAGAGGGCATGATAAGTGGGCACCAGTACCCATCCAGGAGGTCTGTGTGAGCACTTTCCACCCCGTGGTCACTGCCTGGTTCCCCCTAGATTGGGAACCTTGAGGGAACAGGGGCTGTGTGGCATTCATCATTGTAGTCCAGGTTCAGAGGGCAGCTTTGGAGCCCTGTGAAGTCCTCAGCGGCTGACTGCTGGGCAGATGGCCAGACGGAGGTGAGGACTAAATTCTGACTTTGTTTTTTATTCTCTTGACCAAACTCCTACCTAAGGGGCCTGGGGAGTCTGCCCTACAAACTATAAAATCTCACTAGAGGGGTTTTATTTAACCCCGTAGAACATGCCCTGTTTTCCAGCCTGGCTCTCGCATAATATCACATAACAAATAAGGAAAGAAATTAAAATATTTTAACCCCAAATATACTTCCTTTTCATATCTTCAAATTGCCCTGCGGAATTGTCTCTTGTGAGAAAAAAATCTACTTTCTGTAGAGAATTCCCTTTTCCCTATTTTTTATTCTTTCCAGATCCAGAAGATAATCAACTAAGAGTCAGGCACCCTTTTAAGCCCCATAAGAAACATTTCACAACCTCTTCTCTTCATGGCCTGCTAGCTAAAAGCTTCCTCTGCACAATAAAACATCGATATTCACAATCCTTTCTTTTAATCCAAACACTTTCTTTCTATTAATCCCAGGTTAGATAAACTTAACCAATTATAAACCAGAACATTTTTAAATTTACCTCTAGACTTTGACTTGTCCTGCCTTTCTGAACCAAACCAAAATACATCTTAAAAGTATTTGATTGATGTCTCATGTTTCCCAAAATTGCATAAAACCAGGCTGTGCCCTAACCACCTCAGGCACATGTTCTCAGGACCTCCTGAGGGCTGTTTCACATGCCATGATCACTCACATTTGGCTCAGAATAAATCCCTTCAAAATTATAGAGTTTGACTCTTGTCTGCAGACAGCTGGATGGACATCTGGGTGTATGCACCTGCCAGTAACTCCAGGTGGTGGATATGGATCATCTGCTCTGTCCTGATCAATAATACTGATCACCATACTTCTGGTCTTCTCTCCTTCTGGAGGGCAGGGATGAGATCATCTCTCTTTCCCTGCAGCTCCCCCAGCACCTGGGAGGGTCCCGAGCATGCGTGTGACCTCGGCAGTTTTGTGATGTTGCCTGATTTGTGCTTTTTCTTGTTTGTTTGCTCCCTCCTCTCTGACAAACAGCTTTACATTCAGCCCATGATGGGGGCCGGCCTGAATTACGAATGTTACCGATTCGGCATCTCCCCTTCCACAAACGCGCTGGTGATCGGGGCCACGGTGATGGAAGGCTTCTACGTCGTCTTTGACAGAGCCCGGAAGAGGGTGGGCTTCGCAGCGAGCCCCTGTGCAGGTGAGCAATTCTCACATCGAAAGGGGATCCCCGACAAGAGTCCTTTTATGTAATGTGCTGACTTGGAAGCCATTCTTGATGGCACATCAACTACCATTGAATTTTCACGCCTTCCTATTACCAGGGCTCAAAATCTTCTCAGTAAAATGGGTCATGGGGTGGCTGAGATAATTAAATGGCATCATCCATGTAAAACTTGTAGTCCAGGGCTTGGCACTTGGAAAATGCTTTCTGAGTGTTAGTCCTGATAGTCAAGGAGTAAAAATATGCTGTGGAGCCTTGGAGTTACATGACAGTTTTTTGACAGTTAAAGCAATATGAGTAAGGAAGAAGTTTCACATTTAAGCTGTGTACATTTATTTTTCCTTAAAGCTGTCCTCATTTTGAAATAGGAAATGAATGCCTACCATTGTGATTTCTTGAAATCCTAACATAATGAGACCAGGGAGCGCCTGTTTCTCATGGGGTTCCTTTGAAAGACGTGAGGGCGGCCCGCAGCATGACTCTGCAGTCTAGCTGAAGGGTTGGCAGGTCTTCAGAGAAACCAGGAGAGCACAGGAAAGTTAAGAGGATGGTTAAACCCCATAAGCTTGGAAATGTCTTCAGATTTCACAGTTTCCTTGAAATGGAGTGCTTACACAGCACATGGTTTAATGGGAGGATTAGGTATTTCTGACTGAGAGTCCAGCCTGCAAGGCAGAGGCAAATCACAGAAGTGGGCATGAGATTGAATTGCCAGAGACAAGTGGAAGAAGAGCCTGAATCAGAGAAATGGCCGGGAGAACTGTAGCCTTTCAAAATAAGATGTCAAGGGACTGAAAACAGAATTGGTGCGTTAGATTTGAAGTCAGGAACAGAATGAAATTCCAAAGTTGTGCTGGTGATATGTGAAAGGAGAGAAAAATTAAATGTGAGGTCAAAAAAGAATTGATGACAAGGATGTGAAGTAGAAGGAAATTTGGGGATAGTGAAATATAAGGTCATCATGTGGCTGAAGGAAAGGGGATGTGGAGGAATTTGATGGATATGAGATACTGTTGAAGGACAGGTGAGGGTACTAGAACCACCATCCTGGGAGCTTCACCTCAGACCTTCACTCTGATCGGAACCCAGATGAAGAGCTGCCGGGATGAGGTGTCCAGGCAGAATGCCAGGTGATCACAGCGGAATTATTCCAGGAGGGAGAGACTTCAGCTACTATTTTTTAATACCTAAAACATGGTCTTAAAGCAGGACTCCTGGTAAGTAAAGCAGATGAGGGGTGCTTCATTAGCTGCCTTTGGCAGAGTGGCATGTCAGAAAAGTAACAACTTAGAGAACAGAAATGTTAAAAAGAAAGATTGCATCTGGACTGTTAGGCCAATTCATATTCTATATAAATAAAATCATTCAACCCAGTGTACGCATATGATACATCATGACGTGTCTGCATAAATATCTGTGTGGAAGTATTTTCACTTTGCTCTTGTGAGCAGACATGGCACCCTTCCATTGCCATGTTTTCTGTCTTTGCCCATGAGTAAGTGTTTACCTTTTGTGTGTGCAATAACTCTTTCAGCCTATTCAGTTGTCATTGAGTGAGAACTTTCTTTGTAGCAGCAAGTGGGACTGAAATATCACTGAATTTCCTAACTGTGACTATTTTACTTCTTTTTAACCAGGGGAATATAAGAACTTAAGCAATTTTGCCCACAGTTTCCGTTCTCTTGTTAAATGTCATTAAAGTAGAGACTATTATAGCAACAGCTGTTAGAGTCCACTGAATATGGCAGAGTCTAATAGCCATTTGTTTTTAAGTGAATTACTACTGGAAATGGTGTCATAATAGGCGTCCCTAGTCAGGGCAACTTTTTGTCCCCAAATTTTACAGTGAATTATTTGCTAGGTGCTCTTCTGTACATTTTTTTGTTGTTGTTCCTTTTTAAAAAATTTATTTAAGGTTTGGTACTTAAACGTTTGATTTTACCAGCTGGGGGAAAATATGCTGATCTGTCTCCTCTTCCATGTGGATTGTTTAGCCATTAAAGTAATTACTTTCCTCAGGGCTGCAATTAAAGGCCCAGACAGTGCTTGATAGAACCCTAATAAATGGAATAGCTATGCTGCCATTAAAATATGTGTGTGTGTGTGTGTGTGTGTATATATATATATATATATATATATATATATATGTATGTATATATATATATGAAGTGTTTATTCTTTCATTATAAAATGTTTAACAAAAAAAAAACCTTTAAGTTACAGAAAATAATATACTGTGTGCACATTTACGGAATATCCCGATTTAACATTGGGTCATATTTTCTTTAAAAAATTGTCATTGAAATGAGAAAACAAGTGTAACTAAAGTCCCACCCCACCCACCGCCTTCCCCAACATTACTCGTTATCCTGAAATTAGTGTATATTCTTATCTAAATTACTATAAATTTATAATTTTACTAGATGGGTGTGAGCACCTTCTATTAATTATCCATTGTTATGTAACAACTTGCCCCCAAATGTCACAACTCTCTGTCACCTTCTGCAGTTTGTTTCTTTTTCTTTCTTTTTTCCTTTTGATTGATTGATTGATTGATTGATTGAGACAGGGTCTTGCTCTGTCACTCAGGCTAGAGTAGAGTACAGTGGCATGATCAGGGCTCACTTCAGACTCAACCCCCCTGGTTTAGATGATCCTCCAACCTCAACCTCCTGAGTAGCTGGGGCAACAGGTGTGCAAGACTGCCCCAGATAATTGTTTTGTATTTTGTGCAGAGGGAGTTTTGCCATGTTGCCCAGGCTGGTCTCCAACTCCCTGGCTCAAGTGCTCAACCCGCTGTGGCCTCTCAAAGTGCTAGGATTACAAGCATATGCCACGACACCCAGCCTGGCTTTTATTTTGTTTTGTTTTGTTAAGAGACAGGATCTTGCTCTGTTACCCAGGCTGGAGTGCAGTGGCATGATCTTGGCTCAGTGCAGCCTTCACCTCCTGAGCTCAAGCGATCCTCCCACCTCAGCCCCCCAAGTACCTGGGACTACAAACATGTGCCACCATGCCCAGAACATTTTTGATACTTTCTGCAGAGATGGGTTTTCACCATATTGCCCAGGCTGGTCTGGAACCCCTGGGCTTAAGTGATCCTCCCACCTTGGCATCCCAAAGTGCTAGGATTACAGGTGTGAGCCACCATGCCTGGCCATCTTGTGTAGTTTCTGAGGGCCAGGAATCGAGGAGGGGCTAACCCTGGTGTCTCTGGCCCAGCATTGCTCATGAAGCTGCAGCTATCTGAAGTCCTTTGTAGGAACTGGTTCCAAGCTCACTCTCATGGTGGCAGGAGCCCTGCTTCCCTCACCATTTGGACCTCACCCCAGGACTACCTGATGTCCTCTGGTCAGTGCTGAGCAAGTGATCTAAGAGAACACCTCAGAGCACGCAGGACAGAAGCCCCAGTTTTCCTCACCTAATCTTGGAAACGGCATGTTCTTACTTCTACCCCACTCTCCTGGTCGCACAGAATGACCCCGATGTGATGTGAGAAGGGACAACGCAGGTAAATGCCAGGAAGCAGGGGGTGGTCATTAGCAGTTACCTTAGAAGCGTCCTACCATATACTTACCACAAAACCTAGGCTGGTTAATTTGTTTGTTTGGTTTTCTTACTTTATTTTTAAATCTGCAGGAATGCTGTGGTAGTGTGTATCCTTTGTCAACTCTACATTTCCTAGATTTTCCATATTGATATGAGTACTAGGTCATTTGTTTTGACTACATAATATTTCACTTTATGAATGTATCAGATTACACATTTTTATCTTAACATTTGGGTTATTTCTGTATTGGCAGTTATAAACAGTACTGCAGTGAACGTGTTTGTGTAGGTGAATGATATCTTCTAGAAAAGGAATTTCTAAATGATTAAATATGCAGCTCTTCAGTGTTATTGGCTAAGGTTAAAATTGTCTTTATAGTAGCTGGAACATCAGCATTAGATGAGAATTTCTATTCCCTAAAAGCATTACTGTCTTTGTTTTGTCTTTGTGTTTTGCTAATCCATGTACGTGAAGTAATGTCACATTTTAGTGGATTACTTTCAAGTTTACACGACTTTGGATATGTTTTTGGGATGTTTGAGCTTCTTCTCTGAGGGTAAATTTTTCTACTAATATCATATGCACATTTCTCTACCCATCTTTTTTTATTGATAGACATGAGTTCCTTATATTTCTGAGATACTATTTTTTCTGGGTTATACCGTCTAATCTCCCTGACTTTTCTTTTTACTTTGTTTTGGCACCTTTTATTCACATATATATCTTTAATTTAGTGAAATCAAGTTTACCAGTATTTCTCTCATGAATTATGCCCTGTGCCTTATTTAAGAAATACTTCCTTAATCCAAGAAAATAGCGATAATTTTTCTTCTAAAGATACTGTATACTTTTTTCTTATTTTCTTCCAAAAAGTGAATTAGGAAATTAATTTTTATAAGGACATTCCATTTTCTCAGCATCCTTATTGGATATGTAATGTTTTCTCCTCTGATTTTTCCAGTACTTTATTATGAAAATATATCTACAGAAGAGACTAAAAGTAATACAATGACATGCTGCATACCAACCATCTAGATATAGTAATTTTTAACATTTACCATATACCAGTATGTGTGTATAGGTGAGTATGTAGTTTTTGCTGAACCATTTGCAAATAAATTGCAGATATCATGACTTTCTCCCCCAAAAATTTCATTATGCATCTTAAAAATAAGGACATTCTCCTATATAAACCCAATACCATAATCACACCTAAAAAAAATTAATAATATTTGCTAAGTAGCGTGACTATGTAGGCCACATGCAGATTTCCCCAGGTGTCCCCAAAATGTTTTCATTCACTGTTTTGCTGTTTTATTTTGTTTCATAAGGCCAGTTCTTTTGTAGAATGTATCATATTTAGTTTTATCTGTTTCCTAATGAGATCATATAATGCATTGATTTTACCTCATATTTCCTTGAACTT